AGAAGCTGCTCTCCCTTCCTTCCCCCTTCACCACCCCCCTGGAGCGCTTTCTTAACCCCCACCCTAGGAAAACCCTAAACACCACCTCCCCTTAACCCCCCTCCACTATCCCTGGAGCCCTTCCTCCCCCAGCCTCTTCTCCACCAGCACCCACACCTTGCTTCCCGCGCCCTCGCCTCCCCTGACTTATGGGCCCCCTCACATCCCCGTTCTTGTGGAGATCTTCGCTGCCCTTCCCTCCGCCTTCCCCCCTTCTGCCTCCTATGCCACCGCCGTACGTATCCATACCCAAACCCGTATGCAGGCTCTCCCCCTTCCGATCCAACCACCCTTCGAGTCACCCTCCCAACCACCCTTCCAACCACCCTTCCTGACGCTCACCCCTTTCTTTTTCCGCCCGAGTGAAGCCCCCCGGTTGGAAGTTACCCCCGCGTTGTGCGGGTTGGTCATCGAGCCCTGGAAGCGAGCCACGACGCCGTGATGCGGCCAGGGGCCCAAGGTGGTGCCCGTACAGGTGCCGTCGGGGGCACGGCCGCCGTCAGCAAATGCGGCGGCGGCGGCGGCGGCATCCGCAGATTTGTTGCGTCGGTGGCCTGCTTGGGATTGCTGTTGCTGCAGCTGCAGCTGTTGTTGCTGGGTCGTTGGGGGGTTGGAGGGGGCGCCCCAGGCGCCGAGCAGTGCAGCGCTGGGGTCCGCTGTCCCGCCGCCGCTGCTGCTGTTGTTGCCTCCGCCATATGCCACTGTGGTGGCGCGATTGGAGGCGAAGTTGTTGTTACGTGTGTTGGCGCGGTTGGTGTTTAGGGTGGAGGTGGAAGAGAGTTTTGGGCGCGGCGCGAGGGCGTCCGTGATGTTGGCGTTTGTGATGTTGGCGCGGTTCTTGCGTTTTATGCAGTGCTCTTTGCCGCTTGTGAAGTACCAGGTTTTGGGCCTGCCATTGCTGATGATAACCTACAGGGCGTGGCGGGAAGGGGGAAGTTTGCGGGAAGAGAGGGTTTAGGAGTTTGGGTGGAAGGGTTTTTTTAGGTGTGTTGTGTGTGTGTGTGTGTGTGTGTGTGTGTATGTTTGCTGGGGGGAAAGGGGGAGAAAGGGGAGGAGTGGTTCGTAGTTGTGTGTTTCGTGGCTGGTAGGTAAGTTTGCCGTGTGTGCGTGGCTTTGAGGAGAAGGGATGGCGAAGAAGATAATCGTTGTGAAGCAGTTGCTGTGGGGCACACTCGCCGGTCGTGCGATGGGGAAGCTGGGGAAAAGAAAGATGGCGCCGGGTTGGGATGTCATCCCCCCTGTTCCCGGGATGGGATGTCATGCCATGTCCCGATAAATGTGACTGCTGACCAGATACAGATAGCTGCTCACCGTGTGCGGGATGTTGACCTCGGGGCATGCCCGACCCTTCCCATCTTTCAACCACAGATAATGATACAGGCCGACCACAATGCTGTCCTCCACATCCAGGAGCAACTCGTTCTATTCGGGGCAAGGGATACACGTTCAGCGCACGTTAACGTATACGTTATTCGTGATGATGGATTGCTTGCATGCGAAGGGATGTACCCAGGTGCAGGTCGCGTTGACCCTTATTCGGGCATCCCCATATGGCTCTACCAACCCCGGACATGCAATGCGCAATTGCTGCTCAGCGACAGCTTCAATACCGCGGCTCTGGCGCACGCAAGTATTCAACCGCACCGCACATACAATAGTTCTTATACATCCCTTACATATGGTATCTCCTCATCCATGCTCCAGCGTCAAAGTTACTGCATTAAAGGACACCGCGTCTGAAAAAGCTTATGCACCGCCATCCTGCGAAACGGAGCCTATGCCAACATCGATGCTTACGCCAATGTCAGAGATGACACTATATACAATGTGATTGTGATTAATGCTTGCAGTATCTCAGCTTGCAGCTCGCCGCTGCAGCGTTTTAAACAACGTTTCCTTTAAAATAAAATTAGCATAGAGAACTGCATGACGTAAGCCGGCACTCGTTGCAGAGCACTTTGCAAATTGGATTGCGGCAAACCTGAGTGCTTGTTGCTTCGAAGTACGGCGTGCGCATAATGTCTTTCGTCTTTCGGGGACGGCGCTCATCACAATCAAGCTATATTATAGCATTACCAGAAGGAAAGAATTTATTACCATAATGCTGAACAGGCTTAACTATAATGCAGAACATGGGCTCACCACCGCCATTCATAGCAGTGCTGCTGAGGGTTACCCAAATTGCATTACATGCATCAGGAAGACCTAACAGTCCTCTACAAATTAAAATTGATAGGCTCATCAGTCAACGTTATGCCTGTGCTTTCAAGGCTTTGTTACCAGCAACTCTGTAAAGTAAGCACTCCACGAGGACCTCCACAACGAACATTCTCCAGGAATGCATTCCAGCAATCGTTTGGCACATCGACAGGGTACCGCAGCTGTCTGGCCGGAGCCGTCATCGCAGTATCGGCTTTCCCTGCCGCATATTACACGCGCACCTGCAGCGAACTCATTTCAGGGTCTTTCACCTCCATACCCGTTCGGCGGTCCTGCTAACCGCACCGGCAGCACCTCGTCCACAAATTTCCCCCACGGAACCCGTCTTCCTGTCGTCCACTGCTGCCGGCCGAACATCATCTCGAGAGAGCAATGCAACAAACAAACTCCCAGCGGCCCTCAGGAATTCCCCCCCCAAAGGAGCCCCTCTACACCATACCCGCATCTAAAAACCATGTTTTGAAGTCCCATTGGATTGGGGGCCCCTATGTGCATATATGATAATCCATGCCCCAAACCTAGCAGCGGCTGCGTCGCTTAACCGCCGTTACAACCACCACAACCGCAACCGCCACCATGGACCCTCGACCGCCATGCAGGGTAGATTGGAAAGACACTGCATAGGTGCGTGTGTGTTGCAAGCTGTAGCTGCACGTGCTTTCCACAGCCAACGTGTTGCTGAAGAGCTGATGTTGATTCTAATGCTGCTTCTGTCATCGTTGTGCAATCCGTGTTCAGCAGTCATTAATTACGGCCCTAGCACTGCATTAGCAGCAGCGTTGACGAATGGAGAAGTAAAGAATGGCTAGAAGGTAGTGACAGCTCCAACGGCATGTATTGTTGATAAGTGACCGACGCGTCATATACCAGCAGCGGAATGCGAGAGCAACAATAGAACCCGAGCGGGTCCGCGGCGCTCTGTTGATTCCTAACCTGTGTGTGTTACATGCATATGGTCGTGGGGGAGCGTACATCCCGTACCTGCAAACCGCCCAATACGAGCGGAGGGCGCAAGGGCTGCCAGATCGCCTATAAGCACCATCCTACCTCGCACTTCAGACAAAGCAAAAGTGATAAAGGAGACTAACGTCCAAAGGGAACGAGTGAGAGCAACAATAAGCTCCAATAGTGTAGGCAGAAAGCCGGAACTATGGAGCTGTCAGCTGAATAGTAAATAGTAAATTCGAAATTCTCGGCAAGCCGTACGGCTGCCGTACATAACTTAGCTTCGAGGCTATATTCGCTTCGCTCCTGCCGCATCTAAGCTACAATTATGGCCTGTAGCCTTCATGGCTTGCTGTACGGTTGCGTTCGAGGTGCCGGATAGGACAGGACGAGGCGAAACCGGGGCTGCCAAGCTGTGGCCTTACACTACTGCAGACAGAAAAGATAGCAGGAGGGGCCCTCTGACTCAGGCGAGGCCCAGGTTGCGCGTGGTTGCCAGTGCGGCATCGTCTTCCAGCCGGGTATATAGCTGCACCATTGCGTCCGTCTTCCAGCGGCCGTGGGCCTTGCGGGCCTCTTCAGATACCCCTCTGGCTGCTGCCGCGCTGTTTCCCCCCATGCGCGTGGAGTGTGGCATGATTCCGCGCTTGATGCCCACGGCGCTGCACATGGCAGCGAAGCTTCTCCCGGAAAGAGGTGTAGCTGAGGCTGCTGATAGGTGACTGAACAGAGCCGGTCCTCTGCTGCAGCTGGTGGGCTTGCTGTGTCACCTTAACCCTGTTTGCGCAGCAGCGGACCCACATCCTCCGCGGGGGAACTGGGGACACGGACATAGTTACCAAGCGCCAGCAGCCTCTCTCTGTCAAGCCCACTGGGCACGCCACGCCCCCCACGCGCGTGATCCGCACGGTCTGCCCTTTGCCCTCCTGGTCCGTTTTGGACCTGGGCAGCCATGTGAGTGTCGTGCAGGGTGAGCAGGTCGTACTTGACGGAGATGTGGGCTAGGTCGTTGAACCTCGGGAAACCCGCGAACATGGCCGATATGGGCGCTACCATCATCAGGTCTGGCAGTGATGCATCCGGCCCAGCGAAGTGAGCAGCCAACATGCGGACGTGCTCTGGTTGCATGCTTTCCCTGTGCAACTTCTTCCCGTGCAGTAGTGTGCGCCTGCCCAGGTCCCGAACGAGGTTGCATGCTGGGTGCTCCGTTGGTGAGGGGCGGCCTGCGAGAAAGACATGGCAGGCAATAGCAGCGCTCGTCCCCGCGACGCGACCCAGACCTACTTCATCCGCTTGCGCGGTTTGGTAGACGTGCATCAGGTACATGGCCACTATCTCTAGCCTGGTATAGTGGTAAATGTCGCTCGCCCGAATGTGTAGTAACTCTGGCCAATCTAGGAACTCCTGCCATGGCTCCTTGTACTGGGCGACTGTGCTGCTAGCTCGCGCCTTGTGCGCCTGGCTTGCCAACGCCAGAGCTAGATCCCCGATCATTGGGTTAGCGTCCAAGGGCACCTGGCCAAGCAGTGTCTGCGCGCGTGCCCTTACTCCTGTGAAAACCGGGGGGCATAGGGGTCGGGGGGCACAGCGATCCGGCGCGGGGAAGGTGTTTGGAAATCGATGAGTAGTGCAAGCGATAGCCAATTAGCAGCCCCTTTTGGGACCTCGTTTCCCGAAGACCCCCTGGCAGGAAGAGATCATACGCCTTGCCCAGCTCTCTTTTTAGGCCGTAGACGCAAGGAGCAAACCAAAACTTCCCGTCCTGAGTCAGATAGGACCACCAACTGCGCGCATCGGCCAGAGGGGAACAATCAGACAGATGCGTACTTTGCGTCCTTTGCACAGTTCTGCGTGCCGCAGGACTTCAAGTAGCAAACTTTAAGAAAAGCGGGTTCGCCCCCAGTTCGCAATTCCGAACCCCATTGGAACCGAAAGGCGTCAACACCCACCCTCGGTGTCTGGCGTGAAGAAGCGAGGAGAACAGTATTGTGGCAGCTGGTGATTGGTGTGTGACGCGGAAAGATCAATGTCAAAGGGGCCCCGGGCGGTGTTGAGCCTTTGAAATTCCCTACGGTTCACCATCCAGTCGTCCTGGTCCTTTGCAGCTTCGACAGGTAGTCCGCCAGAGTGTTTTCTTCTCGCGGCCGCCACTCCGCCTTCAGTGGGATATCCTCGGCAATACAGTACCAAAAGATTTCGCAGGCAATCAGGTACGAGTCCTCGGCTTTTGCGGATCCTTTGTTGAGGACGTTGGCGTGAGCTTCCCCCCCAGCCGCCCCGTGTGTGTTTCTCTCCACGAACTGGGAGCATGAACACACACGCCCATGTTCAAGTTCCCCTCAGGGAATGACCAGGTGCTGCCAGTCACAGACAGTCTCACTCGGTATTCGACTGCAAACAGCTCAACTCCACATACACACATCACACCACCCACATTTCGTGGAGTGTCCGGATTACACTGTGTGGACGTCCCTTAAGATTTAACACCACCAACTAAAGGAGCCGTGTTAAGGGCACAGCAGTCAAAGTTCGTTCCTCAGGCTTTCTGCGTCCATTTTTGCGCTCCTTTTTCAGCAATTCAGCTGAGAAGCTTGGGAAGATGCAACCAAAACAACTCGAGATTGTTGATGCTACAAAGAAAAGCATCGAGCCAGCCAAGGTGTGAGCCAGCCCACCAGGCCAGTCATCTTGACCTACGTCTTGATTACCGGTTCTTGTTCTGCTGCGCTCTAGTTGCATTGCACAATCCACCTGGATTACCCTGTGCCTGCTCGAACTCCTTGTGGAGTCTCTTGCCACTCCAGGGAGCCTGGGAGCCTGGAGGGGGGTCGGTCGACTTAAGGACATAAGGACCAGCGTGCCGCTGGCAACGGTGTGCAGCTGCTGGGTGCAGCGCCAAATCGGCAAGAAGAGCAGGAGCCTGGCCGTTGTAGAAGAAAGAGCAAGTAGTTCCAGTAACAAAAGCCGTCGACCGGCGGTAGCAATCATCACAATCCTGACAAAAAAATCATTTCCATTACGCTTGTGATGCTGTACGACGGCTCCGAAACCCCCCTTCCCCACACATTTTCACGCCGGCATAAAAATACACATAAGATGCACGCACACAATACTTTATATCACACACATACAGAAAGATCCACAAATACAAACACAGGACTCCAATCTCGCCCGAAATATTGAAGCCTCTAAGGCTTAGAAGTACGGCAATGAGGCTCACGACCCTCATTGATCGTGCTTTAGCCCGAGATAATGAAACGACAACGATCCAAACCTTGATGACTCTCTGTAATCTGTTACTTAGGGTAACTTCAAAAAAAGTGTTAAGGACCCCAAGGTAAGGTGACCTCAGACGGATCATCTCAAACTGAAAACGACTTTTGACTTCTCTCATATCCGGGAGATCCGGGCCTCCTCTTCCAATCTCTTCTTATCTGTTAGGAAATTATTTCTCATGTCCGCCCCCCTGTGTAAGTTTTCGTTCACAGGGCGGCGGCGGTCACCTGATAGGGGCGACGTACGACCATCATTTTCTGCCGGCGGGAGGGCGGGATGGCGCAAAAAGGTCGCCCGCCATTAGCCCATTTAGCCCAACCCCCGGGAAGGAGGGTCGTACCATGAAGTGGTTAGGTAAGCAACGGCACGTGGCAGTTAAGACGGTTATATTAGTTACGTCTTTATCCCAATCACATGTCTTTAAATTCTTTTAAGGCTGACAAAGAGCAGGAGCCAATAGATCAGAACCGACGAATTTCGTCGTACATTGGCTGTTAGGCTGTAATGAGGTTCGAAAGACAGGAGAGGCATATATCTTTTGGTATCGCGTACGGCACATCGTGTCAGCAAAACGCGCATCGGCGGCTGAGCCTTTCTGCAGCAGAAGCGGCACCTTGGCGGTGGCGGTGGCGGCGGGAGAGGAAGGGGAGAAAGGACAGAACGGTGCCGCGGCCGTGGCACATTCACTTGATGATGCTTTCCAAAGACCATCACCACAGCTTGTTGTCGTCGTCAAACATCATCATCGTCATCATCGTCATAACCAACCAACCATCTGCACACCATCTTAACAAACTGCTGCAGCTATGGCTACAGCCGCCGATGCAATGCACCGAAACCTCCCACCCTCCCATTGAAAACATTGTCGTCAGATCGCTCCGTCTTTCCCCGCCCCCACCCCCCTTGAACAGCCACCACCGCAGCTGCCGCCCGCCCGCCCGCCACACATACTTACACATTAGCAACACATACACATACACACACACGCAGCTTTTACCCCTCAGCCATTCCACTACAGCCACACCAGCTGCTGTTGTTGGCGTCCACCACCAGCCGTTCTGGCCCGGAGTCCTCATACACGTCCTGCTCCGAAACCCCCCCAAGGCAGCCCCCTGTCCCCCTTTTTAGCACACTCCCTTTCCCCCGGGGGTTTGCCTCCGAGCCCAATACCCCCCTCTACACACACACACACACGCCCTCCCTACCACCACCCCACGAGCTACATTTTACCCAATTCCCCCCCCATTTTTGATGACATCACTCACACCTCCGGTGCGATATGTACCTTCAAGAAAAACACAAAAAAGCGCACAGACTTACATACAGAAAGACGCATGTGATGGGCGTGTGACCCACTGGGGTCCAGAGCGCAAGCCGACGTGTGCGATACCGGTTGTTCTCTCCCCTTCTTTCACCCCCAAAACACACACACACACACGCAAACCCAAACACGCCCCCTTACCCGGCGCCCTCCTACACTTCTTCAAGCTAGCACGCCCCTCTCCCGGGCCGCAGCCACACAGCCCATCCCGCCTACCCCGACCCCGTCCAACATGACCCCATGGATTCGTTCGTCCGTATGTCTCTACATCCTTTGACCGCTCGTGCTCAATTCAACATTCTCATCAGCTGACTTCCCCGGGGCTCCTCCCGGGGCTTCCCCAGAAGTACGTACGTGTCTGTCTGTCTGTCTGTCTGCCGGTCTCTGCCCCAGAGTCCCGATGGAGATGGAGCTGCGGTGTGTTTCAGAGCAAGTGCTTCCCAAGTTTCTGTGTATGTATGTATGTATGTATGCGGGCTGGGGTAGAGGAGGGAATGGCCCCCGAGCCGACCGGAGGCCGTTTCCCGCACCGTTTCCCAACACGGCAAGCTGCAGAAGATCACACCAAAACACACAAGCTCAGTCAAAACGACCTCGCGCCTTTACCCCGAGCTCTCTTTCCCCCCCCTCCAGGATGCTCCAAGGCTCCGAAACCCCCCCCGATATCCTCAAGACGTCCGGGGGACCCGCGGGTCATGTACCCCTCGCCACTTCCGTCAGCCAACCGACACAGACCCGGGTACGTTCCCCTCACCTCCCCACACACACAAAAACACACACACACAGGCACGCATTTCCGTAAGCACATATGACCGCTGCTGCTCTTCCAAAAGTCGTACATCATCTGAAGTCAGAGTGACGCACCACCACATGCACCCCGATGTGCCGCTGCACCGTACGGCCGACCAAGATCATGTGCTGTACGTATATCTGTACGACGAAGCACAAACACGTACGTATGTGTGTTTCGTGTCTGAGCTCCCTCACTGCGGGGGGGCAGTGGCGGGGGAGGGGGAGAAGGGCGGGAGAACGTGAGGGAGTGCCGGGAGGAGGGCAAGTAAAAACACATATGCGGGGTTACGAATGCGCGTCAGGTCAGGAAGATTGGAAAAGGGCTTTGTGGTCCTCGTACGCCGCGGAATGCCGTACTCAGCCCCTCCCTCCCTCCCCCACCACCGAACAGATCAAGACCCCCCCTTCCCCCTGTCTCTCTCCTCTCTCCCAATCTGTCCTCTCCGTATTCGAGAAGTCAGCGGGGCCATACATACATACAGGTACATACATACATACAGGTACATACATACATACATACGGGGGGTCATCANGCAGACCGGGGCGGGAAAGG